GGTCATCAGAGTCCCCCCCCCCCCCCCGGTCATCAGAGATCCCCCCCAGGTCATCAGAGATCCTCCCCCGGTCATCAGATTCCCTCCCCGGTCATCAGAGATCCCCCCCCCCCGGTCATCAGAGATCCCCCCCCCCCAGTCATCAGAGATCCCCCCCCCGGTCATCAGAGATCCCCCCCCCCGGTCATCAGAGATCCCCAGGTCATCAGAGATCCTCCCCCGGTCATCAGATTCCCTCCCCGGTCATCAGAGATCCCCCCCCCCCCGGTCATCAGAGATCCCCCCCCCCCCGCCGGTCATCAGAGATCCCTCCCCCCCCGGTCATCAGAGATCCCCCCCCCCCCCCCCCCGGTCATCAGAGATCCCCCCCCCCCGGTCATCAGAGATCCCTCCCCCCCCCCCCCCCCCGGCATCAGAGATCCCCCCCCCCCCCCCCCCCCCCCGGTCATCAGAGATCCGTGTTGCACTGACACCCGTTGTGATTGGTGAGGATGCAGATTGCACCACATAGCATAGGATGGGATTCCGGTCCAATCTGCGTGTTCCCCCCGATCCTGCTCCTGTGTGAACCCGGGACTGTCACATGGGATCGGTGCAGAACACGCATGGTAAGTCCGTCATGGGGAACAGATCAGCTGCAGGGAGACCAATCCTGGGGACCCGCCCACTACATGCAGAGCTTCCGCAGTCCATGTCGCTTCTTACACAGAACCGTGCCTGGGCACTGCTGATCTGTATGTACCGTGTGAGACGTGACCGCACTCCTGATCTGTATGTACCGTGTGAGACGTGACCGTACTCCTGATCTGTATGTACCGTGTGAGACGTGACCGCACTCCTGATCTGTATGTACCGTGTGAGACGTGACCGCACTCCTGATCTGTATGTACCGTGTGAGACGTGACCGCACTCCTGATCTGTATGTACCGTGTGAGACGTGACCGCACTGCTGATCTGTATGTACCGTGTGAGAAGTGATCGCACTGCTGATCTGTATGTACCGTGTGAGAAGTGACCGCACTGCTGATCTGTATGTACCGTGTGAGAAGTGATCGCACTGCTGATCTGTATGTACCGTGTGAGAAGTGATCGCACTGCTGATCTGTATGTACCGTGTGAGACGTGACCGCACTCCTGATCTGTATGTACCGTGTGTGAGACGTGACCGCACTCCTGATCTGTATGTACCATGTGAGACGTGACCGCACTCCTGATCTGTATGTACCGTGTGAGACGTGACCGCACTCCTGATCTGTATGTAGTGTGAGACGTGACCGCACTCCTGATCTGTATGTGTGTGAGAAGTGACCGCACTGCTGATCTGTATGTACCGTGTGAGACGTGACCGCACTCCTGATCTGTATGTACCGTGTGAGACGTGACCGCACTCCTGATCTGTATGTACCGTGTGAGACGTGACCGCACTGCTGATCTGTATGTACCGTGTGAGAAGTAACCGCACTGCTGATCTGTATGTACCGTGTGAGACGTGACCGCACTCCTGATCTGTATGTACCGTGTGTGAGACGTGACCGCACTCCTGATCTGTATGTACCGTGTGAGAAGTAACCGCACTGCTGCCTTTGACTAATAGTCCCAATGGATTTTTGCTGCTCACTGTTCTCCTTGCTGGAGGGGAAGCTGTACCTGACAACCTGCAGTGCCAGGATCTCCCATTCTGAGGATATTTACTCCCTCCCCCTCCATCATTACCCCTCCAGTCACCAGACCAGCAGTGATCGGGGGGGGGGGGGGGGGGGGGGGGGGGGGGGGGCAGCTCTGATATAAGGAAGCAAAGCCCTGCTGAGCCCCACCCCCTCCCCAGTGTTCAGCCCATTCCCCTCCCCCAGAGCGGAGCCCCTCCCCAGTGTTGAGCCCACATCCCTCCCCAATGTTGAGCCCCTCCCCTTCCCCAGTGTGAAGCCCCTTCCCCAGTGTGAAGCCCCTCCCCCTCCCCCAGTGCAAAGCCCACATCCATCCCTCCCCCAGTGCAAAGCCCACATCCCTCCCCAATGTTGAGCCTATCCCTTTTCTCCAGTGTGAAGCCCCTCCCCAGTGTGGAGCCCCTCCCCCTTCCCCAGTGCAGAGCCCGTCCCCCTCACCCAGTGTGAAGCCCCTCCTCCTTCCCCAGTGCGGAGCCCGTCCCCCTCACCCAGTGCAAAGCCCCTCCCCCTCACCAAGTGCAAAGCCCCTCCCCAGTGCGGAGCCCGTCCCCCTCACCCAGTTGGAAGCCCCTCCCCCTCACTCACCTAACTGCTTCATGTTGGGGTTGAAGTCCAGGCTGGTGACGGTGTCTCTGTGGCCCTTGAAGTGGCGCTCCAGGGAAGGATCGTCCTGGGAGGAGGAGACACACACGGGGGTCAGTGACACCAATACACAGAACGATTGTCCGGGAGGGGGCGGAGTCACACTCATCACCACTTCCCGACTCCTCCCCTTCACAGGGACTGAACTCCTTTTATTCTTAATATATTACAATCTTTGTACAACTTGTTCTGGGGAGATGTCCTCACTTCCTGTTCTGGGAGATGTCCTCACTTCCTGTTCTGGGGAGATGTCCTCACTTCCTGTTCTGGGGAGATGTCCTCACTTCCTGTTCTGGGGAGATGTCCTCACTTCCTGTTCTGGGGAGATGTCTGTTCTGGGGAGATATCCTCACTTCCTGTTCTGGGGAGATGTCCTCACTTCCTGTTATGTGTCTGGGGCCAGAAGTGAAGGAAAATCTCCCCAAAGGGGGCACCTGTATATTCCCCCTCCCAGACAGTTGTCACGGATACAGGTAACCCCCATGGGAAGATTTCCCCTCGCTTCCTGTCTCTGAGATATCACAGGAAGTGAGAAAAATCTCCCAGGAGTGAGGACGTCCCATCTTAGGTAGTTGTCACAACTGGTGTCCCCCATGGGGAGAGTTCCTCTCACTTCCTGTTCTGGTGACAACTGTAACAATCTAGATTTCCCTTTTGCAGGTTTTTATTGCCGTCTGTGTCCCCTCTGGGGAGATTCCCCCTCTCTATCTGCCCTGGTGTCACAGAGACAGGAAGAGAAGGGAAATCCAAACTTACAGTTGTCACCACAACAGGAAGTGAAGGAAAATCTTCCCATGGGATCACCTGTATCCATGGACAACTGTCTAGGAGGGGAAATATACCGGTGTCCTCGTTGGGGGGGGGGGGGGGGGGGGGTTTCCTTTCACGTCTGGTCCCAGAAACAGAACAGGAAATCTCCCATGGGGGACACCTGTTGTGGTGACAACTACGTAAGAGGGGATGTCCCCAGTTCTGGGAGATTTCTCTCACTTCCTGTTGTGTTTCTGGGACAGGAAGTGAAGGGAAATCTCCCCGCAGGGCCACCTGTATCAGTGACAACTGCCTGGGTGGGGAAATTCCCTTCACTGAAGGGAGATCACCTTACTTCCTGTTGTGTCTGTGAGACAGGAAGTGAAGGGAAATCAACCCATGGGGGTCACTCACTTCCTCTTGTGTCTCTGGCAGAGGAAATGTGATAGAATCCTCTCAGTGGGGATGACTGGTTTTCCTCACTTTCTGTTCTGTTTCTGGGACCGGAAGTGAAGGGAAATCTCCCCAATTGTGTCACCTGTGAGGATTTCTCTTCGTTTGAGAGGAAGTGAATAGAAATCTCCCCGATTGGGACACAGACACCCCCTCCATCCCATAATAAGAGGGAATGGAAGGTGTCTGTACGGCTCCCCCCCCGTCCCCTCACCGGACGCTCCATCCCGCTCAGCATCTCCGCGTCTCCTCAGCCGATCCGAATGTGGCGCCCCGGCCCGGGTCTCCTTCTCCTCCCCGCCCCTCTCCGCTCTCCGCCAATCACAACCAGCCTCCTGTAGCTCGCAGCCACTGAGAAATCGCGCCTCTTACCCCGCCTCCACCCTGATTGGTCCGTGGAAAGTAAAAGGCAGAGCCAACGAATTCTGAGAGGGTAGAGACGGGTTGCTAGGAGATGAGAAGCTGTCCTGGGGAAGACGGGTGGGTTACGTCATATCCGGATATAGTGGAAGCCATGATGGGTGGGGAAGAGGCAAGGAAGTCATGTCTGGTTGGTGGAAAGCCATGATGAATGGGGCGGAAGCAAAGTGACGTCTCTCAAACTGAGACCTCCCCTCTAAATCCCACCTGACACTGCGAAACCTGTTAAATGAACTAATTAAGTTGAATAAAAAATTAATTATGATAAATAAATAATTTATTTAGGAGAAATAGATGAATTTATTTAAATAAATTAGTTACATTAAATAAAAAAGGTTAAAAAAAAATAATCACACTAAATAAATAAATAATTTAAGTGAAATAAATTGTTTGTTAAATTAAAAAATGGATTAATTAGGGTAAATAAATAATAGATTACGTTAAATACATTATATCGAATACATTAAGTTAAATTAAAAAAGTTAAACAAATAATTAATTAAGTTAAATTATTTAATTATTTTAGTTAAATAAATTATGTTGAATAAAAAACATGAATCAAATAAGGTAAATAAATAAAAAAAATCTGAAGAATATATTAAAAAAATCTATATCTTTAAAAATATATTCTTCAGATTTTTTTTTAAACATATAGCAAAGTTATTATAACATATATTTGTAAATGCGTTCCAAAAATGTAGATTTGTGTTTTTAAAGACATACGGTATATTTGAAAAGTATTTTTAAAAATATTTTTTATATATTTTGTAATAAAACTGCATTTCAACATACAGTATTTATATATTATTTTTTTTTTAAATATATGGCAATAAATTTGGGAAGAATATTTTTAAAATATATTTCAGATATATTTTTCCTCCATGTGGGTTGAGCCCGGGGAGAAGAGTGATATACAGATTCCATGTGGAGTATATAATTAATGGTGGAATAAAATGTGATCCGCAGCGAAGGTGTCGGATGTTTCTATGGATTTCATGAAACACTTTTGAATGATGTTTCTTGCAGGCTGATCTGATTGTTGTGGATTGTCATTTTCAGCCAGTAGGTGGCGCTGTCTGTTTCAGGTGTTTTCTAGGCTCTCCATGACCACTGTGCATGTAGGGAGAGGTTGTAACAATCCCCATGATGTCTCTGCCTGTAACAGTCCATGGAAGGGAGAGAACTGTCCCTACATTACAGAGGTCCTTCTCTCCTCACAACAGACCCCGCCGCCATCTCCTTTACTGTGTCCGCAGTCTCTGGTCATCCCCTGTCCTGTGTGTCCGCAGTCTCTGGTCATCTCCTGTACTATGTCCGCAGTCTCTGGTCATCTCCTGTACTGTGTCCGCAGTCTCTGGTCATCTCCTGTACCGTGTCCGCAGTCTCTGGTCATCTCCTGTACTGTGTCCGCAGTCTCTGGTCATCCCCTGTACCGTGTCCGCAGTCTCTGGTCATCTCCTGTACTGTGTCCGCAGTCTCTGGTCATCTCCTGTACTGTGTCCGCAGTCTCCGGTCATCTCCTGTACTGTGTCCGCAGTCTCCGGTCATCTCCTGTACTATGTCCGCAGTCTCTGGTCATCTCCTGTACTGTGTCTGCAGTCTCTGGTCATCTCCTGTACTGTGTCCGCAGTCTCTGGTCATCTCCTGTACTGTGTGTCTGCAGTCTCTGGTCATCTCCTGTACTGTGTCCGCAGTCTCTGGTCATCTCCTGTACCGTGTCCGCAGTCTCTGGTCATCTCCTGTACTGTGTCCGCAGTCTCTGGTCATCCCCTGTACCGTGTGTCCGCAGTCTCTGGTCATCCCCTGTACTGTGTCCGCAGTCTCTGGTCATCTCCTGTACTGTGTCCGCAGTCTCCGGTCATCTCCTGTACTGTGTCCGCAGTCTCCGGTCATCTCCTGTACTATGTCTGCAGTCTCTGGTCATCTCCTGTACTATGTCTGCAGTCTCCGGTCATCTCCTGTACTATGTCCGCAGTCTCTGGTCATCTCCTGTACTGTGTCTGCAGTCTCTGGTCATCTCCTGTACTGTGTCCGCAGTCTCTGGTCATCTCCTGTACTGTGTCTGCAGTCTCTGGTCATCTCCTGTACTGTGTCTGCAGTCTCTGGTCATCTCCTGTACTGTGTCCGCAGTCTCTGGTCATCTCCTGTACTGTGTCCGCAGTCTCTGGTCATCTCCTGTACTGTCTGCAGTCTCTGGTCATCTCCTGTACTGTCTGCAGTCTCTGGTCATCTCCTGTACTGTCTGCAGTCTCTGGTCATCTCCTGTACTGTCCGCAGTCTCTGGTCATCTCCTGTACTGTGTCCGCAGTCTCTGATCATCTCCTGTACCATGTCCGCAGTCTCTGATCATCTCCTGTACTGTGTGTCCGCAGTCTCTGATCATCTCCTGTACCGTGTCCGCAGTCTCTGACCATCTCCTGTACCGTGTCCGCAGTCTCTGGTCATCTCCTGTACTATGTCCGCAGTCTCTGACCTTCTCCTGTACTGTGTCTGCAGTCTCTGGTAATCTCCTGTAGCATGTCTGCAGTCTCTGACCATCTCCTGTAGCATGTCTGCAGTCTCTGACCGTCTCCTGTAGTATGTCTGCAATAGGGGCCCTGAAGCTCGAGGTTCTCCCCACAAGTCTGAAGACGTCAACAATCCTCCCCAATCCCAGGGAATCCTCTGCTTCTCGTTCGGATGATTCTCGCCCCGTGGCACTTATGTCCATCATTATGAATGGTCTGGAGGAACCGTGATATTCAGCTCATTAAAAAAATGAATTCCGGTGGAGCTGGACAGTCACCAATCTGCCTTCAGGACAAATCGGTCTACAGAGGCGGCCAATCATCTACTTCCATCCGGATCGGACCCACCTATCCGTCTGGGACAATGGTCTCATAGAGGATCCCCCATCACCTTCCATCTGGGACAATGGTCTCCTTGAGGATCCCCCATCACCTTCCATCTGGGACAATGGTCTCATAGAGGGTCCCCCATCACCTTCCATCTGGGACAATGGTCTCATAGAGGGTTCCCCATCACCTTCCATCTGGGACAATGGTCTCCTTGAGGATCCCCCATCACCTTCCATCTGGGACAATGGTTTCATAGAGGGTCGCCCATCACCTTCCATCTGGGACAATGGTCTCATAGAGGGTCCCCCATCACCTTCCGTCTGGGACAATGGTCTCATAGAGGATCCCCCATCACCTCGCATCTGGGACAATGGTCTCATAGAGGGTCCCCCCCATCACCTTCCGTCTGGGACAATGGTCTCATAGAGGGAACCTCAATTTCACCTTCCGTCTGGCAATGGTCTCCTTGAGGATCCCCCATCACCTTCCGTCTGGGACAATGGTCTCCTTGAGGATCCCCCATCACCTTCCCTCTGGGACAATGGTCTCCTTGAGGATCCCCCATCACCTTCCATCTGGGACAATAGTCTCATAGAGGATCCCCCATCACCTTCCGTCTGGGACAATGGTCTCCTTGAGGATCCCCCCATCACCTTTCGTCTGGGACAATGGTCTCCTTGAGGATTCCCCACCACCTTCTGTCTGGGACAATGGTCTCCTTGAGGATCCCCCATCACCATCCGTCTGGGACAATGGTCTCATAGAGGGTCCCCCATCACCTTCTGTCTGGGACAATGGTCTCCTTGAGGATCCCCCACCACCTTCCGTCTGGGACAATGGTCTCCTTGAGGATCCCCATCACCATCCGTCTGGACAATGGTCTCCTTGAGGATCCCCCCATCACCTTCTGTCTGGGACAATGGTCTCCTTGAGGATCCCCCATCACCTTCCGTCTGGGACAATGGTCTCCTTGAGGATCCCCCATCACCATCCGTCGGGGACAATGGTCTCCTTGAGGATCCCCCATCACCTTCTGTCTGGGATAATGGTCTCATAGAGGGTCCCCCATCACCTTCCATCTGGGACAATGGTCTCATAGAGGGTCCCCCATCACCTTCCATCTGGGACAATGGTCTCCTTGAGGATCCCCCATCACCTTCCATCTGGGACAATGGTCTCTTTGAGGATCCCCCATCACCTTCCATCTGGGACAATGGTCTCCTTGAGGATCCCCCATCACCTTCCGTCTGGGACAATGGTCTCATAGAGGGACCCCCATCACCTTCCATCTGGGACAATGGGTCTCATAGAGGATCCCCCATCACACCTTCTGTCTGGGACAATGGTCTCCTTGAGGATCCCCCATCACCTTTCCTTCTGGGACAATGGTCTCATGAGAGGATCCCCCATCACCTTCCGTCTGGGACAATGGTCTCCTTGAGGATCCCCCATCACCAATCCGTCTGGGACAATGGTCTCCTTGAGGATCCCCCATCACCTTCCATCTGGGACAATGGTCTCCTTGAGGAGGATCCCCCCCTGAGGGACAAATGGTCTCCTTGATCACCTTCCATTCTGTCTAGGGACAATGGTCTCCTTGAGGATCCCCCATCACCTTCCATCTGGGACAATGGTCTCCTTGAGGATCCCCCATCACCTTCCATCTGGGACAATGGTCTCAT